GGGCCGGGGCCGGGGGCGGCGCGGGGAGGCGGGCCGGGCCGGGCCTGCCGCGGGGCGGGCGGGCGGAGGGGCTGCCGCGGGGCTGGCGGAGCTGCAGGGATGCCCTGGGGCCGCGGGTGATGGCTGCTCGGTCCCTCAGTCTAGGACGGGGAGCACGGCTGGGCCAAGGCCCGGGCTTGTGCGAGGGGCGCGCGGAGGGGGGCGCGGGCGCGCGCGCGGGCCGCGGGAAGAGCCGGAGCAAGGTGACGCGGAAGGGCTGAGTGCGGCGCTTCCTCCTCCCCGCCCCCCCCCCCGTGCAGGCCCTGTTGCAGCTGAAGCCGGAGCGGCGCGCCAGCTTCCTCCTCCAGCGGCGTCGGCTTCCTCGCATCGGGGCCCCCGGGGCCAGAGCGCGCAGGCAGGACGCAGGACGGAGGCCGCCATGGCCCACTCGCCGGTGGCCGTGCAGGTGCCCGGGATGCAGGTAAGGCTCCTTCCCTGCCCTGGCGGGGCTTCCACATGCGTGGGCGCGCACGGCCCCTGGCCGCTGCCCGGCCCCGACCTGCTTCCAGTGGCCTGGGCCTGAATGCGCTTTTAGGTGCGGCGCCAGGGCTGGTTCCTCAAGCGGAGGGCTGGCGGCACTGGAAAGCAAGTCCGGGAAGGGTGACATTGCAAAAAGGGCTTGCTCTCTGCCGTGATCGAGGCCATGCGGGGGTAGGTTCAAATGGGGTCAGTCTGCCGTTCTGGAAGCCCTTCGGGGCGGGGGGGGGCAGTGTGTCTTTAGCACTTCCAGTTGTGCACCTGAGTAACCGGAGTGGCCAAAGGTAATTGTTGAAGCTGGGTGTGCATAGGGCATGGTCACTTTTTTGTAATAGGCTGCCTCTTTGTAGGAAGTCTAGTTTGTGTCTGAAAAGCTCCCTTTGGTTGTGGAATGTTTGTGCCAGAGCGGTGAAGCTGATGCTGTTAAGTCCCACCCGAAGGAGTCCTGGTCAGGCTTAGAATAACGTGTTAATGCACTTATTCATTGCTTATCCTGCAGTGAATGACCCCACCTTGTCCTTTGAGTCAAACTCTCCCTCTGGTCTGGGAAAAAAAGCTGGGCTGGGCTTTCTCTCGCTTGGTTTTTTTAAAGGAAGTGCCATGCTTTGTTGGGAGCACTGAAATGGATTGTTTTCTTAAGAATGTAGCAGGATTTATTTGATCAGTTTACAATCTTGGAGCATGGAAAACTTCGTGTGATTACAATGCTTGATAATGTTGTTAAAGCATGTGTGTTCCTTGATAGGACTCCCTAGATGAAGGAGGGTAAGGAATTTGGGGCTGGGGCTAGCATGGAGTTTTAACTGCATGCACCAGAAGGGGAAATTTACATCTGGGCATCCCTTAGCTCCCTCAGTGGACACATTGATTTAAATAAAGGAAATGCTTTTTGTCATTCTGCTGTCACAGACTAACACAGCTAGTCTCCTGGAACTAATTTGTGTATGGATGGGGTGATATTTTCCCCTCTAGTGAGTTTTCTAATCTGCTTGACGTGTGTGTAATGGCGCTAAGCCCATCTGAAGGCATTGTGTTTAAAAAAAGACAGAAGAAGCCCTCTGGCAGGTTGAGTATGCTTTACTAGTTGGGGTCCCCATTTGATGGTCAGTTTTATCTCCTGGCCTGTTTACAGATCAAAAGGTTCTGATCCCCTTGGGCTTTTTAGTCTTCCAAATCTAACTACTCTGAAAAGGTCAACAAACCCACCAGTTACTTTCATTTTTCCCTAATTCCATCTCATGCATCAAAGAGCTGGTCACCAAAAGTTAGTCTAGAAGTATTCACATGAGCTCCTTGATAGATGGTTGTAATGCAGCACAGAAGCCTTGCTTTTTCTTTTTTAAATTTGGGATCTTTCCAAGGCAAGTGGGTTGCTCCTCTTTTGGACCATTGTTACCATTCAGACATACATTTCCCAAAACAACATTTCCCCAAAGCATTATTTCAGAACTTTAATATATTAACCATTTGCTATTTCTTTTCAACTTCATCATATTTTGTCAAGTCCAGCTCGCTGCGATGGTGCGATTTTAAAACATAATATGTGAAGCAGGGAGGGAATTTTTTTTGTTCCTACAAAAATAATGTGTGATGCCAGGAATAAACTGCACAGCTACAACTACAACCATTTATGGCAATATGGAAAAAGAAACAAGGGGGTTTTTGTACTGTGCAATGGGTATATTACAAAGTTTAGGTAGCATCTCAGTTGTGATTTGGGACTTTAGATTGCACTGCTATCCTGTACCCACTTTCCTGAAAGTACTATTGAACTCAATGGATTTTGCTTGTCAGTAGGCACGCCTAGAGGGTGCACTGTAAGTCATCAATCAGGATGGTAAGCAGGACGGAATATTTGGGAGTATGCAAGTTAAAATGTGTTGGCTTCAGGGAGCGTTTTTAACAACTGGAGTGTATTGCATTAATAGTCTCCTGTTAAATGTTTACCCTAGTCTCCTCTGTTGCAGTTTTCCTTGCTTTCTTCCTTTGTCAAGGATTCTTATGTCATAGTAAACAGTGGCTTGATGTTCAGGCCTCAGGCTTTAATATTCTTTCTTTTCCAGTTTCTCACCTCCAGATCACTTCCTTATGCAATCATTTGCCATTAATCCCAATCAACAAAGCTTTGCCCTCTAAATCAGAGTTGGAAGCCATGGTTTGAATAGCGAATGTGAAACTTTTTGAGTGTAAAACTTTTTGATGGTTTGGATGCTAGTGAAACAGGAAGTGAGTGACTGAATGAATGACACCATCCGAAAAGAGGAAGTGCCAAAGTTTGGTTTGTTGTTCATGTAAGTTGGTTGACTGCTCCATAGTAACTTTAGGCCTGCATGCAAACTGTTTGGCTGGGTTAATGACTTGTCCAGGCAGTGAGTTTCATGCTGGACAAAGTTTTGTGCTTGAATTTCCCCCCATCCAAATTCAAGGCTGCTTGTTGTTGGACTTTTAAAAAATTCTTCAAAGAAAGAACAAAATGGATATCCAAAAAAACAAGATTCCTGTCTTGCTACTGAGTGCGGTTCACAGTTTCCTGCTTCCCATTATCCACCTCTTACTTTTATTTAATAAATAACACCCAGCCTGTCTCCCTGAAAGCAAATTTAATAGTTCCATACATGTTTCTAGGTACTGTTTGCTAAATCACCGGCTTTCATTGCAGTACTTCTGTAGAAGTAGCAACGCCGTTTATTGGAATGTGAATGCAATAAGAGCCAAATGCACAGAAAATGCCTGTTGATTTTCTTTGCTTAGAATGAGCATTGTAGAAGCTGTCATTTGCAAGATATCCAGAGCAAGATGTCCTTAATTTCTGTGAATGTCTAGTAGTTAATGTTGCAGGAATGCATGGGGGGCTTTAAGCCAGGAATTCGGTGGCACATACAGGACAAAAATGTGCTTTCCTGGAAGCTATAGAGGAATTAGTCAGCCTTGGAAACAGACACATTTTCATTTTGTTGCTGTCTCATTGTATTTATTGTTTATTTCTTTGATCTGCAACAAATATAGCGATCAGGGCTGCCTTCCACTCAAAGGTTTTCATTACAGGGGTCAAAGAGATACTTCACAAATCACGTCTAGTTGGTTATTGTATTGATTTACATGTTTTTACTTTTAGGCTGACTTGTTCTTGTTGGGAAAGTTGGTCTCTGATGTTCTTCCACATATATCATTAAGGTTAATCCTGGATGCAGATGTTGATTTTTTAGCTCATCGTCTTTCCAACCCACAAGATCTAGAAAGATGGGAGATATAGACTGTTACGTCAAGCTTTGAATAGGATCAAAAGTGCTTCAAGAAATGCTGGTGGTCAAGGATTGGAACTAGTTGATTTTTTTATTTTTTTACTATGAATGCCTTAGCCATTCTTTGCTCTTTGATACTGCAGTTTTCCAAGGTAAAGTTTACAGTTGGTGGGTTTACAAATTAAATTATATATTGTATTGCATAAAATGCATATGCTTAACCCATCTTCCCATTGCTAATAACTCTTGCAAAGACAATTCATTATTATTTTTTAAACTTGCATTCTAGACTTAAAGCCAGTTCAAGAAAACAGTTTATATAAATTCCATTTAAGATGCAACTCAAACTGTCAAGGTAGAATTAAAACCAGTCAAGACAAAAACTAAAATCAGCGGTAATGATTCTTTATGCTAAGCATTATACATAGCATTTCTTTACCACCTCCCCCCAGTTCCGTGAAACTTACAAGTTTAGAGGAATTTTGTGAGTGGAATTTCTCAGTAATAGCAAAATATGTTCTTAACGCTGATGCAGTCTCACTTAAATGTTTCCCCAGCAAATGCATTCTTACACATTGTTATCCAAAAAAAAAGGTTTGCAGTAATTTGCATCATTCATTAGTCAGGCTTGTTTGTCATAAATACCTTTTGGTAAATAATGTCCATAGATGTTAATAGCCTGTTACAAGTTTGATTAGCCCAGGACGTTTGTGTCAGGACAGCCTGAGGGCAGCGCAGGTGGGAGTACCCTTTTTCAATTTATAGAAGCCTCCTTACCTGCTTAACTGGAAGCTGTCCTCTTTACCAGGTGAACACACAAATAGCTACAGGCAAGTTGAAAGCCAGTTTTCCATCTTCCAATCTTAAAATGTTTGTTCTCCATGTTTCATAGACTTTCTCCTTTTAAGTTCTGATCGTTCTGAGCTGTTCTGAGTTCTAGGAAGAACCTTGTGGAGTTCCTTAGAGCACTTTGCTCTACTGTTAAGACAATAAACTTTACATAATACCATATTTCCTGTCACTTTACTGTTGTTGCTAGCTTAACCTAGATCCCTTAATTTATACGTGTATAATATCTTAATATCTTTCTCTGCTTCACTTTTATATAGCTGAAGATAATAAAATATTTCCTTTGAATTATTTTTCTACATGTAGGCAGATAGGATAAAAGCAAGCATTCCTTCGATTGTTGGATGCAGAATAAAAAGTATTCCTCAGACCACCTTTTTTCTTCAAGCTCCTGTTAAAGAAAGGGGCATTTATGTGATTAAAAGATATACATGGATTTGTCCACTTCTAATTATTACCAATATTGAAGCCAGCTTAGTTATTTTAAGAGCATTACTTCATTGAAATAATGGAGTCGAAGGGCTTGTGGCTCAATTTCAGCAAGTATACGTGGTTCTGAGGATGACAATGCACAGATAGTTACGTTGAAGTTAGCACTGTGGGAGAGCTTTGCTTGTGTGAACCTGTGACTGGTGCCACGTAATGTTGGACTTGCCTCAGGTGGAATTGATGAGGCAGCAGCTTAATGTTTTGTGAACGCTGTGAGTTCTTTTAAACAGTCTAGTCTTCGTCTTACGCATCGCCCAGGTAATTCCTAAGCACGAGAAGCCATGGAGGCCCAAGTGCAGATGCCGCGTCATGAATGAGCACGCATGTTAGAGTGTGTGCTTTAGTCCCCCTCCCTGGCTGCACT